TGGGGGGGGGTGCAAAAGCGGCTTAGGCCGGGGCTGAGCGGCTTTAAGGGCTAATTATAGCGCGCTGGCCCTTTAAGAGCCCTGACCTTGCCCTGAGGTGGTTTAATCCGCGGAGGGGGAGGGGGATGGTGTGTCCTCGTGCGTCGCACGAGCGTTCACTTCTTCTTCCTCCTCCTCTTCTTCCTCAGCCATGGACATCGGAGGTTTGGAGACGGTGGTGGCCAATTCGGCCTACGTCTCGGCCCGGGGCGGCCCGGGGGCTTCTTCGGGTCGAGATCGACGCCAACGAGCCCGTCTCCGCCTGCCCCACATCTCCCAGTGCGAGGCCCTCCGAGCCCGCTTGGCGGGAGGCGGCGGGGTTGCCCAAAAAGGGGGCGAAACGGCCCAAAAAGGGGGCGAAGTGGCTCAAAACGGCGTCGGCGGGGCCCAAAACGGCGTCGGCGGGGCTCAAAATGGCGGCGGCGGGGCTCAAAATGGCGGCGCCCATGGAGGCGGCCATCTTGAAGAGGATACTTCCTTCCGGTGGCAGTGCGTGGAGCAACCAATCGGGAAGCTGCTTTTCCAGCGGTTCCTAGAAGGGACGCCGGGATTGGCCGCCGCCGGGGCCTTGTGGGCGGAGCTGGAGGCCTACGAGCGCTGCGAGGATGAGGAGAGGGGAGGGGCGGCTGCCGCCATCAGGGGAAGGTTCTTCGCCCCCGGCGGGGCCCAGCACTGCGGCTTCCTCAGCCCGGCCGCCGTCGCCCCGCCCGCAGGTGAGGCTCCTCCCGTGGCCGCCATGGCACCAACATGGCCACCATGAGACCAACATGGCCACCATGAGGCCATCATGGCCACCGTCATGGCCGCCATGCACCAATATGGCTACCATGATGCCAACATGGCTACCAACATGGCCGCCATGGCACCAACATGGCCGCCATGACACCATCATGGCCACCGTCATGGCTGCCATGGCATTTCCAATGGTGGCCATGACACCATCGTGGCAATCATGACACCATCATGGCTACCATGAGACCAACATGGCCACCAACATGGCCACCGTGGCACCAACATGGCCGCCATGACACCATCATGGCCGCCATGAGACCATCATGGCCACCAAGAGACCCAGATGGCCACCAACATGGCCGCCATGCACCAATATGGCTACCATGATGCCAACATGGCCGCCATGAGACCAAGATGGCCACCATGAGGCCAACATGGCTACCAGGAGACCAATATGGCCGCCATGAGGCCAACATGGCTACCACGAGACCCTCATGGCCGCCATGAGACCAACATGGCTGCCATGAGACCAAGATGGCCACCAACATGGCCGCCATGAGGCCACCATGGCCACCAGCATGGCTACTATGAGACCAAGATGGCCACCATCATGGCTGCCGTGGCACCAACATGGCCACCATGAGACCATCTTGGCTACCATGAGGCCATCATGGCCACCGTCATGGCCGCCATGGCACCAATATGGCTACCATGAGACCATCATGGCCACCAATATGGCGGCCATGAGACCAAGATGGCCGCCATGAGACCAACATGGCTACCAGGAGACCAAGATGGCCACCATGAGACCATCTTGGCTACCACGAGACCTTCATGGCCGCCATGAGACCAAGATGGCCACCAACATGGCTGCCGTGGCACCAACATGGCCACCATGAGACCATCTTGGCTACCATGAGGCCGTCATGGCCACCGTCATGGCCGCCATGGCACCAATATGGCTACCATGATGCCAACATGGCCACCATGAGACTGTCGTGGCCACCATGAGACCAAGATGGCCACCAACATGGCCGCCATGACACCAACATGGCTACCATGAGACCAAGATGGCCACCATCATGGCCGCCATGGCCACCAATATGGCCACCATGAGGCCAACATGGCTACCAGGAGACCAAGATGGCCACCATGAGACCATCTTGGCTACCACGAGACCCTCATGGCCGCTGTGAGACCAAGATGGCCACCAACATGGCCGCCATGTCATCTCCAATGGTGGCCATGAGGCCAACATGGCTACCATGAGACCACCATGGCCACCAACATGGCCGCCATGGCACCAACATGGCCACCATGAGGCCAACATGGCTACCAGGAGACCAAGATGGCCACCATCATGGCCGCCATGGCAGCAACATGGCCGCCATGACACCAACATGGCCGCCATGAGACCAACATGGCCACCAACATGGCCACCGTGGCACCATCATGGCCACCATGACACCAACATGGCTACCATGATGCCAACATGGCCACCATGAGACCACCATGGCCACCAACATGGCTGCCAGGAGCCAAGATGGCCACCGTCATGGTTGCCATGGCCACCAATATGGCCACCATGAGACCAACTTGGCTACCATGAGGCCATCATGGCCACCAACATGGCCGCCATGACACCCCCAACGGTGGCCATGACACCCCCAATGGTGGCCACGATGCCCTCAATGGTGGCCACGACACCCTCAGTGGTGGCCATAACACCCTCAATGGCAGCCATGACACCCCCAATGGTGGCCACGATGCCCTCAATGATGGCCATGATGGTGCTGGTGGCCATGACACCCCCAATGGTGGCCACGATGCCCTCAACAGCAGCCATGACAGCGTTGGTGGCCATGACACCCTCAACGGTGGCCACGATGCCCTCAATGGTGGCCATGATGCCCCCAATGGCAGCCATGATAGTCTTGGTGGCCATAGCACCACCAATGGTGGCCATGATGCTCTCAATGGTGGCCACGATGCCCCCAACGGTGGCCCTGATAGTGTTGGTGGCCATGACACCCCCAATGGTGGCCATGACAGTATTGGTGGCCATGACACCCCCAATGGTGGCCATGACACCCTCAACAGTGGCCATGACAGTGTTGATGGCCATGATGCCCTCAATGGTGGCCACGATGTCCTCAACAGTGACCATGACACCCCCAATGGCAGCCATGACACCCCGAATGGTGGCCACAATGCCCTCAACGGTGGCCTTGATGCCCCCAATGGCAGCCATGACAGTGTTGGTGGCCATGACACCCCCAATGGTGGCCATGATGCCCTCACTGGTGGCCATAACACCCCCAACGGCAGCCATGACACCCCCAACGGTGGCCATGATGGTGTTGGTGGCCATGACACCCTCAATGGTGGCCATGACAGCGTTGGCAGCCATGACACCCCCAATGGCAGCCATGACAGTGTTGGTGGCCATGACCCCCCCAATGGTGGCCATGATGCCCTCAACAGTGGCCATGACACCCTCAGTGGTGGCCATGATACCCTCAACAGTGGCCATGACAGTGTTGGTGGCCATGATGCCCTCAACGGTGGCCATGACACCCTCAATGGTGGCCATGACAGCGTTGGCAGCCATGACACCCCCAATGGTGGCCATGATGCCCTCAACAGTGGCCATGACACCCTCAATGGTGGCCATGACAGCGTTGGCAGCCATGACACCCCCAATGGTGGCCATGATGCCCTCAATGGTGGCCATGACGGTGTTGGTGGCCATGACACCCCCAACGGCAGCCATGTTGCCCCCAGTGGTGGCCATGACGCCCTCAACGGTGGCCATGACACCACCAATGGTGGCCATGATGCCCTCATTGGTGGCCATGATGCCCTCATTGGTGGCCATGATGCCCTCATTGGTGGCCATGATGCCCTCATTGGTGGCCATGATGCCCTCATTGGTGGCCATGATGCCCTCATTGGTGGCCATGATGCCCTCATTGGTGGCCATGATGCCCTCATTGGTGGCCATGATGCCCTCAATGGTGGCCATGATGCCCCCAGTGGCGACCGTGATGGTGTTGGCATGACACCCTCAACAGTGGCCACGATGCCCTCAATGGTGGCCATGATGCCCCCAGTGGTGACCGTGATGGTGTTGGTGGCCATGACACCACCAATGGTGGCCATGATGCCCTCAATGGTGGCCATGACAGTGTTGGTGGCCATGACGCCCTTGATGGCGGCCATGATGGTGTTGGTGGCCATGACACCCTCAACAGTGGCCATGATGCCCTCAACGGCAGCCATGACACCCCCAACGGCGGCCATGACAGCGTTGGCGGCCATGACACCCCCAATGGTGGCCATGACGCCCTCAACGGTGGCCATGACACCCTTGATGGCGGCCATGTTGGTGTTGGCGGCCATGACACCCCCAACGGTGGCCATGACACCCTCAACGGTGGCCATGACACCCCGAATGGTGGCCACAATGCCCTCAACGGTGGCCATGATGCCCCCAACGGCAGCCATGATAGTCTTGGTGGCCATAGCACCACCAATGGTGGCCATGACAGTGTTGGTGGCCATAACACCCTCAACGGTGGCCATGACACCACCAACGGTGGCCATAACACCCCCAATGGCGGCCATGACACCCCCAACGGCGGCCATGACAGCGTTGGCGGCCATGACGCCCTCAACGGCGGCCATGCCACCCCTTCTACCACCTTCTCCCTCTCGAAACCAGGCGCCGCCCCGTCGGCGAACGACTTTGGGCAAGCTCGCCGGGAGTTACTAGCCCACCTGGAAGCGGTGGCCTGGCCCCCGTACCGCTCCTCCCCCGAATTCGGGCGCTTCGTCCAGTTCAAGTGGTTGGAAGGGCAGGCGGTGGGGGCCGAGGCCTTCGTGGATTTTCGGGTCCTGGGCAAAGGTGGCTTCGGCGAGGTCTGCGCCTGCCAGCGCCGGGCCACCGGCAAGATGTACGCCAACAAGCGCCTCAACAAGAAGCGCCTCAAGAAACGCCAGGGCTACCAGGTGGGCAACCGGGTCCTCGGGGGGATGGGATGACATTTTTGGGTTCCCTCAACCATTTTGGGGTCATCTCGGGCCATTTTTGGGTCACCTCGGTCGTTCCCGGGTCCTCAAAGCTCCTTTTCTGGTCTCAAATCCCTTCTTCTGGCCTCCAAAATGGTCCCCTCAACCATTGTTGGGTCCCCTCAACCATTTTTGGGTCCTCTCATTGGTCCCCTCAACCATTTTGGGTCATCTCGGCCATTTTTGGGTCATCTCGGGCCATTTTGAGGTCCTCTCATTGGTCCCCTCAACCAGTTTTGGGTCCCCTCAACCAGTTTTGGGTCCCCTCAACCATTTTTGGGTCATCTCGGCCATTTTTGGGTCATCTCAACTGTTCCTGTCTCCCCAAAGCTCTTCTTCTGGTCTCAAATCCCTTCTTCTGGCCTCCAAAATGGTCTCCTCAACCATTTTTGGGTCCCCTCATTGGTCTCCTCGATCATTTTTGGGTCATCTCAGCCATCTTTGGGTCATCTCGGCCATTTTTGGGTCATCTCGGGCCATTTTGAGGTCCTCTCATTGGTCCCCTCACCCAGTTTTGGGTCCCCTCAACCAGTTTTGGGTCCCCTCAACCATTTTTGGGTCATCTCGGCCATTTTTGGGTCATCTCAACTGTTCCTGTCTCCCCAAAGCTCTTCTTCCGGTCTCAAATCCCTTCTTCTGGCCTCCAAAATGGTCTCCTCAACCATTTTTGGGTCCCCTCATTGGTCTCCTCGATCATTTTTGGGTCATCTCAGCCATCTTTGGGTCATCTCGGCCATTTTGGGGTCATCACGGCCGTTCCCAGGTCCCCAAAGCTCTTCTTCTGCTCTCAGATCCCTTCTTCTGGCCTCCAAAATGGTCTCCTCAACCATTTTTGGGTCCCCTCATTGGTCCCCTCAACCAGTTTTGGGTCCCCTCAACCATTTTTGGGTCCCCTCAACCATTTTTGGGTCATCTCTGGACATTTTGGGGTCATCTCGGCCACCCCCATGTCTCCAAATCTCTTCTTCTGGTCTCAAATCCCTTCTTCTGGCCTCCAAAATGGTCCCCTCAACCATTTTTGGGTCCTCTCATTGGTCCCCTCAACCATTGTTGGGTCCCCTCAACCATTGTTGGGTCATCTCGGTCATTTTTGGGTCATCTCGGCCATTTTGGGGTCATCTCAACCGTTCCTGTGTCCCCAGAGCTCTTCTTCTGGCCTCCAAAATGGTCCCCTCAACTATTTTTGGGTCCCCTCAACCATTTTTGGGTCACCTCATTGGTCCCCTCGACCATTTTTGGGTCCTCTTGGCCATTTTTGGGTCCCCTCGGCCATTTTTGGGTCCCCTCATTGGTCCCCTTGGACATTTTTGGGTTCCCTTGGTCGTTCCTGGGTCCCCAGATCTCTTCTTCTGGTCTCAAATCCCTTCTTCTGGCCCCAGAATCTCTCCTCTTCTCCTCTTGTCTCTTCCCTTGGTCCCCTTGGCCATTTTTGGGTCACCTCGACCATTTTTGGGGTCATCCCGGCCATTTTGGGGTCATCACAGTCGTTCCCAAGTCCCCAAAGCTCTTTTTCTGCTCTCAAATCCCTTCTTCTGGCCTCCAAAATGGTCCCTTGGCCATTTTTGGGTGCCCTCAACCACTTTTGGGTCCCCTCATTGGTCCCCTCAACCATTTTTGGGTCCCCTCAACCATCTTTGGGTCATCTTGGGACATTTTGGTCCCCTCATTGGTCCCCCCAGGTCCCCAAAGCTCTTCTTCTGGTCTCAAATCCCTTCTTCTGGCCTCCAAAATGGTCCCTTGGCCATTTTTGGGTGCCCTCAACCACTTTTGGGTCCCCTCAACCATTGTTGGGTCCCCTCAACCATTTTTGGGTCATCTCAGCCATCTTTGGGTCATCTCATCCATTTTTGGGTCATCACGGCCGTTCCCGGGTCCCCAAATCTCTTCTTCTGGTCTCAAATCCCTTCTTCTGGCCTCCAAAATGGTCCCCTCAACCATTTTTGGGTCCTCTCATTAGTCCCCTCCGTCATTTTTGGGTCCCCTCAACCATTTTTGGGTCATCTCGGGCCATTTTTGGGTCATCACAGTCGTTCCCAGGTCCTCAAATCTCTTTTTCTGGTCTCAAATCCCTTCTTCTGGCCTCCAAAATGGTCCCCTCAACCATTTTTGGGTCCTCTCATTAGTCCCCTCCGTCATTTTTGGGTCCCCTCAACCATTTTTGGGTCACCTCGACCATTTTTGGGTCATCTCGGTCGTTCCCAGGTCCCCAAATCTCTTCTTCTGGTCTCAAATCCCTTCTTCTGCCCCCCAAATCCCTCCTCTTTTCCTCTCATCTCTTCATCCCCTTGGCCACCTGCGTGTCCTTGGCATGTTCCACACGTGTTTTCCTGGCCACGTGTCCCCGGCGTGTCCTTGGCGTGTCCCAGGCCAACCCCTTGGCATGTCCTTGGCGTGTCCACCCTCCACAAGTGCCACCTCCATGTCCTCGGCGTGTCCCACCCCTGTTCTCCTTCCCGTGTCCCACCTCCCCGCTCTTTGCGTGTCCTTGGCGTGTCCTTGGCGTGTCCCAGGCCACCCCCTTGGCGTGTCCTTGGTGTGTCCACCCTCCACAAGTGCCACCTCCGTGTCCTCGGCGTGTCCCACCCCTGTTCTCCTTCCCGTGTCCCACCTCCCCGCTCTTTGCGTGTCCTTGGCGTGTCCTTGGCGTGTCCCAGGCCACCCCCTTGGCGTGTCCTTGGTGTGTCCACCCTCCACAAGTGCCACCTCCGTGTCCTCGGCGTGTCCCACCCCTGTTCTCCTTCTCGTGTCCCACCTCCCCGCTCTTTGCGTGTCCTTGGCGTGTCCCGGGCTTGCCCCTAGTGGCGTGTCCTTGGCGTGTGCTTGGCGTGTGCAGGCGGCGCTGGTGGAGAAGCGGATCCTGGCGCGGGTTCACAGCCGCTTCATCGTCTCCTTGGCCTGCGCCTTCCAGACCAAGACCGACCTCTGCCTCGTCATGACCATCATGAACGGCGGCGACCTGCGGTAAAGCATGTGCTTGGCGTGTCCCAGGCGTGTTGCCGCCCGGAGGGGGCATGTCCTTAGCATGTTCTTAGCGCGTGGAGCTGCCCCGCGTGCCGTGAGGACGAGGTCACCTTGGGTTTCCTCATACCATGTCCCCGGCGTCTCCCCAGGTGCTGGTGTTCCCTTATTCTGGCCTCCAAAATGGTCCCCTCAACCATTTTTGGGTCCCCTCAACCATTTTTGGGTCCTCTCATTGGTCCCCTCAACCATTGTTGGGTCCCCTCAACCATTGTTGGGTCATCTCGGTCATTTTTGGGTCATCTCGGCCATTTTGGGGTCATCTCAACCGTTCCTGTGTCCCCAGAGCTCTTCTTCTGGCCTCCAAAATGGTCCCCTCAACTATTTTTGGGTCCCCTCAACCATTTTTGGGTCACCTCATTGGTCCCCTCGACCATTTTTGGGTCCTCTTGGCCATTTTTGGGTCCCCTCGGCCATTTTTGGGTCCCCTCATTGGTCCCCTTGGACATTTTTGGGTTCCCTTGGTCGTTCCTGGGTCCCCAGATCTCTTCTTCTGGTCTCAAATCCCTTCTTCTGGCCCCAGAATCTCTCCTCTTCTCCTCTTGTCTCTTCCCTTGGTCCCCTTGGCCATTTTTGGGTCACCTCGACCATTTTTGGGGTCATCCCGGCCATTTTGGGGTCATCACAGTCGTTCCCAAGTCCCCAAAGCTCTTTTTCTGCTCTCAAATCCCTTCTTCTGGCCTCCAAAATGGTCCCTTGGCCATTTTTGGGTGCCCTCAACCACTTTTGGGTCCCCTCATTGGTCCCCTCAACCATTTTTGGGTCCCCTCAACCATCTTTGGGTCATCTTGGGACATTTTGGGGTCATCACGGCCGTTCCCAGGTCCCCAAAGCTCTTCTTCTGGTCTCAAATCCCTTCTTCTGGCCTCCAAAATGGTCCCCTCAACCACTTTTGGGTCCCCTCAACCATTTTTGGGTCCTCTCATTGGTCCCCTCAACCATTGTTGGGTCCCCTCAACCATTTTTGGGTCATCTCAGCCATCTTTGGGTCATCTCATCCATTTTTGGGTCATCACGGCCGTTCCCGGGTCCCCAAATCTCTTCTTCTGGTCTCAAATCCCTTCTTCTGGCCTCCAAAATGGTCCCCTCAACCACTTTTGGGTCCTCTCATTGGTCCCCTCAACCATTGTTGGGTCCCCTCAACCATTTTTGGGTCATCTCGGGCCATTTTTGGGTCATCACAGTCGTTCCCAGGTCCTCAAATCTCTTTTTCTGGTCTCAAATCCCTTCTTCTGGCCTCCAAAATGGTCCCCTCAACCATTTTTGGGTCCTCTCATTAGTCCCCTCCGTCATTTTTGGGTCCCCTCAACCATTTTTGGGTCACCTCGACCATTTTTGGGTCATCTCGGTCGTTCCCAGGTCCCCAAATCTCTTCTTCTGGTCTCAAATCCCTTCTTCTGCCCCCCAAATCCCTCCTCTTTTCCTCTCATCTCTTCATCCCCTTGGCCACCTGCGTGTCCTTGGCATGTTCCACACGTGTTTTCCTGGCCACGTGTCCCCGGCGTGTCCTTGGCGTGTCCCAGGCCAACCCCTTGGCATGTCCTTGGCGTGTCCACCCTCCACAAGTGCCACCTCCATGTCCTCGGCGTGTCCCACCCCTGTTCTCCTTCCCGTGTCCCACCTCCCCGCTCTTTGCGTGTCCTTGGCGTGTCCTTGGCGTGTCCCAGGCCACCCCCTTGGCGTGTCCTTGGTGTGTCCACCCTCCACAAGTGCCACCTCTGTGTCCTCGGCGTGTCCCACCCCTGTTCTCCTTCTCGTGTCCCACCTCCCCGCTCTTTGCGTGTCCTTGGCGTGTCCCGGGCTTGCCCCTAGTGGCGTGTCCTTGGCGTGTGCTTGGCGTGTGCAGGCGGCGCTGGTGGAGAAGCGGATCCTGGCGCGGGTTCACAGCCGCTTCATCGTCTCCTTGGCCTGCGCCTTCCAGACCAAGACCGACCTCTGCCTCGTCATGACCATCATGAACGGCGGCGACCTGCGGTAAAGCATGTGCTTGGCGTGTCCCAGGCGTGTTGCCGCCCGGAGGGGGCATGTCCTTAGCATGTTCTTAGCGCGTGGAGCTGCCCCGCGTGCCGTGAGGACGAGGTCACCTTGGGTTTCCTCATACCATGTCCCCGGCGTCTCCCCAGGTGCTGGTGTTCCCTTAGCATGTCCTTAGCATGTCCTAAGCATGTCCTTAGCATGTCCTTAGCATGTCCTAAGCATGTCCTAAGCATGTCCTTAGCATGTGAAGACGCCCCACATGCAATGTGAAGTCAACCCAACTTCCCCAAGCCCTGTCCCCAGGTGGTGGCGTGTCCTCAGGTGGTGGCGTGTCCCCCCCACCCTGAGCACGGAGCGTGTCCTTAGCGTGTCCTTAGCGTGTGCTTGGCGTGTCAGGTACCACATCTACAACGTGGACGAGGAGAACCCGGGCTTCCCCGAACCCCGGGCCGTGTTTTACACCGCCCAGATCCTGCTGGGGCTGGAGCACCTGCACCAGCACCGCATCGTCTACCGCGACCTCAAGCCCGAGAACGTCCTCCTCGATGACGCTGGTGACGTGGGGACACGG